TGCAGGTGCAAGGAATTCTTTGTGTGATTATCATCCCATTTCAGCACCTTTATTAGTTTAGAGACGTTCTAGAGCCCATGAATTTCCTTCAGATATCTTGAAGATATCTGAAAGATACCCTAAAGTTAGATTTCCTCCTATATGGCTTCATCTATGCCACACCAGATGACTATCTCATGAGTGCACCCATGGCCCAAGCCTAACATGCATCACCTTGAAACTGATCTTGTCCCTAGGTTTAGAGAAAGGCTGCTAAACCTCCTGAAATGTTCATTGTAACATTTCCTCAGTTCCTTTCAAAACATTTAATGCCTAAAGATCTGTTGCCTGAAGTTTATGATGTATGCTATTTTCTTATTAAAAATTGTGCTCACCACTTGTGGGTTCCTTTCTGTGGTAAGGCTCTATGGTAGATATTTTGTGTACTCATAGACCCTCCTATATGGAAATTGTTCCTTTCCCACTCCAAATATAGATAGAGCTGTCAGTCTAGGAACTGAGTCTAACTTATGGTAGAGATTGCATGACCAAGAATTGCCAATCATGAATCAGTTCAGAGGAGTTTCTATACATTCTAGAGAGTGCCTTTCTTCTGAGTTTGTAAAACTGGATCTTTTGGAAACTTCTTTTCCATGACACCAATAATGAACAAGGCAGGGCTGAGAAAATGGTGAGGGAGTAATAGATTCCTACTGACAGCTGTTCATCAACTGGTTCCAGCCCACTTGAAACCAATAGTTCCATAGTCTTGGGTTTGATTGCATTAGACAATACACCTCTGAATTTAACACAATTAATCTTATATATGAATTGGATTTCTATTACTTATAACTGGGAGTTCTAATTAATGTCTTATGAACTTGTTTAACTATGGGATATCAAGGAATTCAGACTATTTTCTCACTGACCTTTCTCCTGAGGGTCTCAGAGGTTGCATATTTTTTCCTATGTACTCCTTACACTTCCATTGCAGCCATCTGAATCTCTTTCTTTTTCATACTATTTACACTTTAACTCTACTTACCTTGCCTGTGGATTGCAAACTAAATGGAGAAGATGGACATCATCTCCCAGGTCACCCACTTGCATGAACTTTCTCTAAAGGAGACTGTTGTCTGAGTTTTACAATGTTGAATAACACCCAGTGAAAGTAGATTTTGTGACTCGGAGCTCTACCTTCAAGCTAACTGTTTAGGACCTCATAAGGAAGGCCACTGTTAATCCTGTATTTTCTTATTCATTGGGAAGGAGCAAGAAGGGTCAATTCTAATTCATTTCAAAGGGCCTTGAGTTGTCTGCTTCATGACTTCTACCTTTAATTTTGGGAGTTAGTCGCATATCATGGGTTCTTATACTGCAAGCCATTAACGCCATTGTTACACTTCTGTTCTACAGTGCTGTTCACTTTAGATTCATGAGCTCAATGTGGGAATGGTCCTTTAGATCAGGACTTGACAAACTATAGCCCACAGGCCAAAAACCAGCCAGCTGCCTATTTTTGTGGAGTTTTACTGGAACACATTCATTTATGTATCGCTTATGAGTTATTTCATAGTTGCTACAGAGACTGCATGACCACAAAACTCAACATACTTACTGTCTGGCCTTTTGCAGAAAGTTTGTTAATATTGCTCTAAATTAATAACTTTATAGTCATCTCTGTATCCTGGAATCTATAAAAAGTGGTATTTATAAGGTACCCTGAGAGATGACAGAATAAGTATCTTTTTTTTTTTTGATCTCTTGCATTATACAAATTTTTTTTCTTTTATTATTCATATGTGCATACAAGGCTTGGTTCATTTCTCCCGACAGAATAAGTATCTTAACAAACCTTTTAAGCATACAGCTTGGGAAAGCCAACTCCAAACCACTTTGGGGCAGGATACCCCGTCTGATAGCTCCATCTTTTTAAGAGAGCTGAGGAGCAGCCCATGATCTAAATCTTGGTTCTGTAGGTCTTGCATTTGGATTTTCATGTGGATTTCAATTTTAACCAAGGATGGAGTTACTTCTCCTGCTCCTGGGTGGTGGTGGTGATGACCTATTGGGCCTCCTGACTTCCTAGGCACCTGTTCCTGCTGCATCAATCAAGTGGCCTCTAAACTAGACTTAACAGAACATAAAGATGTTCCCATTGGTGGGATCAATCTGAGCCACTTGTGGTTTGAAACCAACTAAAATATGTGGTAAGAATCGGTAGTAGTTATTTTAGTCACTTGTCCCTTTCCTGGAGTAATGCTGTAGCAAAGTTAGTTAATGCCTATCTTCCAACCTTTTTCCCCAGGCCTATGATACTAACTGGTATCCACACCTTCACCTGTGTCTTCCATTCATACCAGATGTAGAATTCTAAGCATTCTGTCATGTTTGAGATCCCATCTATATGTTCATTTTTCTCACTTTATTAAGGCATAAACTTATCACTGAAGCTAAGACAGAAACAACTGTCCACTCTTCACGCTGCTACAGGGCAGAAGAGAGGGTCAAGAACCATTCACACCAATAGAAAGAATGAAACTGCAAGTTTATTTGAAAGTATAAAAATTAAAAAAAAAAAAAACAAATAAGCCAAGCCTAACCAAAAAACAAAAAAAAAAAAGCAACTGTTCCAGTTTACATTACCTTTGAACGTCACACACTATTTATTAATCACTTAACTGCATTTTAAAAAAACAATGTCAATTTCAGGGTTGAGGGAGCTGAGTCAGGCAATAAGCTAGCAATCACAGGGAAGCTATCTTAATGCTAAAATTATATGATCTCATCTGAGAAAAGAGAGCAGAGATCATTTTCTGGTTGGTGTAGTGATTTAGACAATGTGTTAAAAAATAATCCTGGTTGGAATGAGTTAAAAAAACATTGCTGAGCACTTCGCATGAACAGAAGGGAGGCTTCCCCTAACTCCTGCAGCTTTGCTATCTTATTTATATATTTTTTAAAAATCCATTAAAAAACCAAATCTATAATAAAAATGTCCCTGTGTTTGTTTTAAAAAAACATTAGTAGGATCCCCTTATCTACTAAAACCATTTGTTTTTCCTAAGATGCCTGGAAGCAGAAAAGCACGTGAGATTAACTCACTGCACAATGAATTAAAATTAAAATTCTTTCCTCTAAACAACTTTCACAGCACCAAAGAGAAGCAAGGGCCCATCAAAGGGAGAAGTAAAGCCATGCTGACTCACAGAAATGACGCGTGCAGCCAGACGCAATCTGTCTGCCATCCAAGTTCTTTGTTTACTCACTCAGAAAACAACTCAAGTGCTATTTTAAAAAGGAAAGGCACAAGCAACCAGGTTCCTTTACTTAAAACAAAAGCAAACCCCAAGTGGCTAGCTTTCCTGTAATAAACTTTAGGTCAGTTAAAAAAGGAATTGATCTAGAGCACAGGATCACTGAAGATCACTTCATTCCCACTTCCTGCACACTGTTTTAATTAGCATTGAACAGGCTACTACAAAAGATGTGGAAAGAAGCCTTGAATTGGTGACAGCTGCCCACCTGGTTCCAGTTTTGTCCCTGGTCAGTTAGTCAGTGTGGTTTTCTGCCAAATAATACCAAAGTTTTTATCCATTATTCCCTCAGGGGGTGGGCCCAGTAGCTGGCTGGGCGTTGGCAAAGAGGAAAACTAGTATAAACAGACATACTAAGAACTAAGGGATGCATCCCTCCTTCTGCATCCTTCACAAACTCCATAAATAATAACCTCAAAGTGCAGCTATGCACGAATACCTGGCACACAGGTTAGTCTGAGGTGACATGTTACAGGGCTGGGTAGGGCAAAGGTGTGATCTCTTTTTTTTATCTTTCTTTGGACTTCACTAAAAGAAAAAACAAAACAACAACAAAAAGAGATAGCTTTCCTATACACATATAAATAGTCCCTTAACTAGAAGGGAAAAAACAAACACACTGTTTTAAATGCATTTCTAAGAGATTTAAAACAATCCAAATGGAAAAATCTTGACTCCAAACTGTGTACTCGTCCTGTCTCTCAAAGGAGAAACTCTGCTGGGATATGAGGAGAGGCCTGACCCTAACTCTAGCTAGGGGTTCTGGTCCTGGGTTTTGGGAAACAAGAGTGTATGCAGAGCGGGGACCCGGGAGCTCTCAGAGGAGATACTAAATTTGGCTCTCCTGGGTTGGAAACCAGTGTACTCCGAATGCACAGGTGAAATAGACTCCCAGGTGGAAAGGCAGCATAGGAACCTACCATGGAAGCTTCATGAATGGGCAAGACAGGCTGGGCATGGTTCACTGGGACAAAGGGCCAGATCAGATTTTTGGCCAACTCAGGTTGAGTTCTCATCTCTTGGTTACAGCAGGTCAGCTGGGAGTTGATGAGTCCAAAGCCAGGGAAGGGCCTGTAGGGCCAAGGTAGGCCCAGGCTCTAGAAGCCTGCAAGTTAGGAGCTGAGAACTCATGGCGGGGGCCTCCCAACCTATTTTAGGATAAAGCCTATGGATCTGTACTGCCAGAGAAAGCTTTTGAAATAAGGATTCTCGGCAAATTTATATAGCCAGAATCTATCCAGGGTAGATGGTTTCTGAGTCCTTCACAAAACCAAAATGATCCTGCAGATAGCTGAAGGGTGTTGCTCACGTCAAAAGTTGTCTTTGGCTACTGCCTCCATCCAATGATGGCTTCCTGGTGGGATCACCTAACCCAGATTCCCAAATGGACCTAAATAAGGGACAGCCTGGAAGAGAATCAGGTCCAATGCCTTCTGCTCTCCTGAACAACATGGCACAGAACCACTGTGTTCTCAAAGACTACTTAAAGACCAATTCACCCTGCTGCCTGCACACTTACCACTCCTACTCAGACGGTTCCAACAATCACAGAACAACATGAAGAGTAAGGTTGTAATCATGACTCCTGGAAGCTTAGAAAGATGTCAATGCATCATGTCAACTGAGAAGACAGAAAAATGCCAGGCTCCCCCCCTACCAAAGAAAATCCCTCAAATCTGGGGAAGTGGGGAAGGGAAAGGCAACTGACATCCCAAACCTCAACTCGAGACACTCTTAAAGGAGTTCAAAGAGTTTCCCACAAGCACAAGTTGTTAGAATGGAACAAGTTGGAGCAGATTAACCCACATGGACTTTGGAATAGCTGAATTTTATACTTCTTCAGTGCCCTGGGTGGGCACAGAGTCCCTGGGTTCGGTGGTGCCCTCTGGAGGGCCAGGCTGCCCTGGGCTATGGCCGGTGTCTTCCACGCTCAGGAGGCTGCTGGCTGCCTGGGAGCTGGCACTGTTGGCACTCCCCGACCGAGAGCGGTAAGGGGGCAGGTCGGCTTGGTTCAGAGACTCCGTGTCAGAAGAGTAAGGCGGTGGAGGAAGGTCGTACCACGCAGGTCTGCAACGGAAAAGAGGGTAGGTGACAGGGGCAGAGGACAGAGGGGAAGGAAGAGAACACATTAGAGCCAAGGTGACGTGGACCCAGTGCCAACATCAGCCCATATTGGACCTGATGCTTCAAGTAAAGAGTATTTTCCCTCCCAGGATAAAGACAACTTTAGGACCAGGAAACCCAGTGGTTTGGAACAAACAGAGAGAAAAGAAAAGTCAGTGTGCTCTGGCTGTTCCTGTCCTCTGGTCAGTGCCAATCCCACATCCTTCAGGCAAACCCAGAATGAGGTCAACAAACAATACCCCCAGCTCAACTTGGGTGGTCGGGCACAGCAGTTTTGTTCCCTTAGCTAACGGTCCTGTGGCCACGAGCTGGGCTTGTGTCTTGACTGAGCCTTTGATGGTCCGGGTTTTTTTTTTTTACAAAATCCAACGCTTCCTGTGGACTTGGATTGAGAGCACATCCTTTCAACACCCTGTCACCTTCACCTGTACTGTGCTTAAAATAAAATCATTTAACAGGAAAGACATTTTGTTTTTAGACCCCATTACTGAAGGTTCACCGTGAGTCAGGCACTATATTGTGGACCTCATATTCAGTACCTTCTTTTCAGACTCACAGTGGGTTTATGCCCATTGCACTGGTGAGGAAACTGAGGCACAAGGACAATTAGCTCGCTCATGATCACAAACAACTAGTAAGAAGCAATGTGGATTTGAGGCCAAGCACACTGTTTCCAGATGCAGCAATTTTATCCTCAGTCACACTGCATGTGGCAAATGGAAAGGCTGAATGGGAACTTTGTTAGGGGAGTGAGGTCTGGCAATTCTTATTGGCAGAGATTCTTAAGCTCTGCCCCTTCCCTGGGCCCCCAAAGCTTTGTTTGCCTGTGATGACAAGGGAAAATGAAGATTAAATGATACAGGAGCTGCCACCAGAGAGGGTCCAAGGAGGAGCCCAGTCACACTGGGAATGGTCTGTAAAATGCCTGATGTGACACACAGAGTGAGTCTGGGACATGCTGAGCAAGATCCTGAAGGGCAGGGTATGGGAATATTAGAGTCAAAAGGGACTCAGACAGTTGTAGTCCAGGACCTTCCAAAATGGGTTATTTAGGGGGCTAGTGAGATAACTCGGTGGTAGGCATGTTAGCATGTGTGAGGCTGTGGGTTTGATCCTGAGCAAAACACACACACACTAAAGTAAAAAAGGAAAAAGAAAGAAGAAGAAAAACCCAGATTATTTGGTTACCTTGGAAGTCACCAAAGAATGGGTCGGGGAGGCTGAGCAAGCATGATTTAGGTCTTTTTCTTACTGCAGCTACAGAACTCTGCTTGGCGCTTCTTGTACAAGGCCATTTGTCATGAGAAGTCCATTGCTGAGAAAAGCTTGTCTTGCTCAACTTCACTCCCCCTATCTTACATATGAAGCCAAGCAAAGTTAATGGACTTATTTGTTCTTTCATTAAGTCAACAAACATTAGCCAAACCTCCCAGAGATGCTGGGAGCATCAGTTCTGAATGTGGCCGTTGAGGAATAACCAAGGAGCAGCAGGGCTCCAAGGGATGGGGATCCTAACACTGTGATCTCAGACCAGTAATTTTAAAGTCCCAGGTCTCAGATTCCTTTGTAAAATACAGGTTAATCCAGAGCCTCCCTCAGGGAGTTGTCAAGAGGTTTAAATGAGATAACATGTGGAGCATTTTGCAAGGATTCAGTGAGTGTCAACTGTCATTGCTATTGCACAGCCGCTGAGCCCAGGTTCCTGGCAAGGTCCTCCCACAGTAGTCACCACTCCCCCATCTCTTCCACCACATGCACCTTTGGTCCAGCAGGGCCTCTGAGTAGGAGGGCGGGGAGCCTACTTCCGAGGCGCTCTGCTCTGCCTGACTGGCCACATACTGGACACCATTGTTGACATTGTAGGTGACATTGCAGTGGTGGGGATGATCCAGGACCACCAGGCGGGACAGCAGCACAGGATGCTGCAGCCGGTGCACAGGCAGTGTCATGAGGTTGTTCCGCTTCCGCTGGTGGTGCAAGACCAGTGCCAGCAGGGCCACCACCAGCACAAAGATGACAGAGCTGCCGATGATGGCGTAGGTGATGCTGGGATAGTATACAAGCTGGTTCTCCGAGGTCACAAACACCTGCCCGCTGCCTGGTTCTGAGAAATCCCAAAGAGGAAAGAGAAGGAAGTCAGCAAAGAAAAACTAGAACTTGCATGTACTTGAGCACTGCTGCACTGTTCACAGAAGCTAGAATGTCCATCGACTGCTGAACGGGGATACCAAACGCGGTGTGCCCATACAATGAACTGTGGTCGACCCTGTGTATCCACGGTGTGTGGTTTCAAGAAGACTGCTATGGAGGAAAACACCAGCGTGCTCAGAAGGCATAGAGTTCAGTACTTTAAAATGACCCAAATTCCCAACACCGTACCTATAGTATAGGTCTGGGCATCCAAGACTTGAAACTGTGTGGATTGGCTAATGACAATCTGCAAAATTACTGTTGCACACATTAGTACTGATCACAAAAACTATGTCTTACTTCATGCTCTTTTTCGCCAATACTGGGGATGCTTGATTTATTTTTTCCATAACTCTACCCAACTTTCACTAAGGCCTTGCTGCCTTTTAAGAAATCTTTATCACTTTATCACCTAAATTAAGCACACTATATGACCATTCGGCTTGGGAGGATTATGTAATTTTTACTTTGCTTTTTGGGAGGCAGATTTTCACAAAATGAAGGGCAGGGAAACACTCAGCAGATCATCCAACTTAAATGAAACTTATGGGAATTAGGGACTGGCTGAGAGCTTCACTGCATCAACTCAGCTGAGTAATGTTGCAAGAGTAAAAATTTTTTTTCTTGAAATTTCTTTTGGGCTGGGTGCTGGTGGGTCATGCCTGTAATCCTAGCTACTCTAGAGGCTGAGATTGGGGAGGATAGTAGCTTGAGGCTAGCCTCGGCAAAAAGTTCTCCAGACCCTGTCTCAGCAGAAAAAGCTGGTGTGGTGACATGTGCCTGTCACCCCAGCTACTGTTGGAAGCATAAATAGGAAGATCACAGTCCAGGTATGCCTGGGCAAAAAGCAAGACCCTATTTCAAAAATAACCAGAGCAAAAATGGCTGCAGGTGTGGCTGATGTGGTGGAGTGTCTACCAAGCAAACACAAACTCCTCTGGATTCAAACTCCAGTAGGCTCCCCCCCAACCAAAAAAGTAATTTTTTTTATTTTTAAAATTTGTTATTATTTTTGACCATGTTTGGTCAAAACTGTGTGTAATAAATGCACAAAAAATGGCAAGCTTACTGTATATGACTCAGTCAAAAACAAAATGAATGCTGAGAGATGCAAGGTAGACAACGTCAACACCGTCAGGCAGTAAAAGAAGCCAGACATGACAGATCACGTGTTACGTGATTCTGTTGATATGAAATGTCCAGGAAAGGCAAGCTTACCGAGACAGAAAGGGTAGTGGTGGCCTGGGCTGTGAGTGGGCATGAAAGAGCTTGTTCTTTATGGCATGTTTTAAAACTGAATGGTGGTAATGGGTGTGCAAACTGGAAAATTTATCCTTAAGATGGGTGAGTGAATTTTATGTTATATAAATGAGACCTCAATAACGTTGTTTGAAAAGTCAGCCCTGGGAAATGTAATTCGTATCTGGAAAACAGGAGTGAGAGTGCTTTTAGCAGAAATCAGATGCTCACTGGAAATTAAGACTGTGACACATGTGAGGGAGGCAGGTAGGTGCAGCTCCTTATGACTGTGCGGTGTTTATTTTATGCCAGCCCTGTGTTGGGCTTTCCAGATAGGGTGTCAGCACAGCACAGGCTAACATGGGCTCTGGAGGCAGCCCAGCCCCTCAACTTACTTGCTGCATGTCCTGAGCTGAAAAACAGTGACAGAAGCTCTGAGGGCTTCGAGTGTGGAATAAGTCAACAATTATTAAGCAAGTAGAATAACAGCTGACCTTGTGTGCTAAGGGTGAGTGCTCAACACACACAATGTGTGCTTAGCATCTGCCCTTACCTCCTAACAACTCCACGAAGCACACGCTCTTTTTAAGATGAGGATAGTGAAGCTTGGGTAGGCTGGGATTCCTAACCCGACATGCAGGCTGAAGGCCTTGTCCTTGACACTCTGCTCTGTGACCTCTACGACAAGACCCCCCCTTGCAATCAGCAGGCACTTCCTCAGAGGAAATGCCTTTTCCCTTGGGAGAAGGTCCAGGACATATTCCTCCTCTGCTGACATCTTTCTATCCATATGTGCTAATGAGTCACCCTCCAGATTCTTAGGTGATGGACTTCTCAGCTCACGGGATGTACCTGGCAGCCTCAGGAAGGCCAGGCAGACACAGGAAGCCAGAGTGGCCACTCCTCCCAGAAAGCTGGGGACCCCTCATCTGTGTAAGCGCTGCAACTGCCCACTACTATGGCCAGCTGGAGAAAAAAATCTAAATGCATTCCCATGAGCAACTGTGGGGACTACAGTTGTTCTGCCTGGGAAGCAGGCGGAGGGTTTGATGTGTCCTCAGGGGTCATGCTGTTGACCTGAAGTAGCAGCAGTGGTAGAACCATGCACTTACTCTCTCCTTCACCACCAGCTGCGGATTTGCCTTGTTCATCACTGATCCCAAGGGTGTGGGATGAAGCCCGGCAGACTGCAGGCACTCAATAAATGCATACAGCTCAATAAGGGGAAAAAATCTGTCTTTTCAAATGCAGCAGTAAAGTAGGTGCTATTTATTATTTCTACTTTTTCTCATAAGCAAATGGGCTCACAGAAGTTGAGTTAACTTGTCCAAAGTCACACAAGCAACAGAGAAGAAGTCAGAACTGAACCCACATATTTCAGACACCCTATCTTCTCTTCTTTCCTGATAAAAATGTGTCTTGATTCCTCAAATAATTCCAATCTAAGACAACTGATGATCTTCCTTCTTAACTCTCTTTTTCTATGCATTTCACTTTTCTTTCCAGACACACCTAGACTTAGACTACAAGTTTCAAAGATTCCAATGCACTCCACACGTTTTCCCGTGTGTGTGTGTGTGTGTGTGTGTGTGTGTGTGTGATGCTGGGGGTTGAACCCATGGCTTCTTGAATGCTAAGCAAGCGCTCTACCACAGAGCCACATCCCCACGTTTTAACTGTACAGAAAGAAGCAAGTATGATCTCAGCTGAAAGGCAGAAGCATGCTATTGTACAGTTAAGGGAGGGAGGTGATTTGAGACTTTTCTGGAGACAATTAGCTGTCACCCTCTTCTCAGCTTAGATAATTAAAAGCTGTGTGGGGGCTTACGTATATGTATGTTTCAGAATTCAGGCTTGAAATAATACCTCTTCTTTATTTTGTTATCTCCTGCACAGAGCTACAAAGTCACAGACAGGGCCTTAGGGTCAATCCTAGAACCATCACTTGGAGCTGTTTGAGCTCAACCAAGTGACTCAACTCTTTTTTTAAATTGTTTTATTATTCATATGTGCATACAAGGCTTGGGTCATTTCTCCCCCCTGCCCCCACCCCCTCCCTTACCACCCACTCAGCCCCCTCCTTCTCCCCTCGACCCCCTCAATACCCAGCAGAAACTATTTTGCCCTTATTTCTAATTTTGTTGAAGAGAGAGTATAAGCAATAATATGGCCATAAATTACAGAACCCATCTCCCTGAACCACCAGGAGGGTACAGTATATGCACAAAGGCTAAGCACAATGTTTGACAAGGGTAGGGTTTGCACTCAGTAATGCTGGTTCTTCTTTTAAAAAATTGTTTGAAAATGATGATGATGATGAAATATACATACCATAAAAGCATTTTAAGTGTACAGCTTATTGGCACTAAGTGAATTCATGTTGTCATGCAACTATCACCACTGTCCATCTTAGGATCTTTTATCACCTCTAACTAGTTAACAGCATCTCTGGACTGTTGGTAGAAATGGGGTGAGCCCCATTTTTTTTTGAGGGGGTGCAGTGGAACGGAATGGATTTTCCCAAAGAAGACAAACGAGTCCAGAGATCTTAAAAGGCTGACTTCTGTGTAACCATTTGCAGTATTAAGAATACAAGTGGGAGCCATTTACAATGAATGGAAAGTAAAATGCTTTTGGATCTTAACGATGTCACTTATGTCTCTGAAGGGAGGCTCCCTCCAGACCTGCCCACTTTGGCAGGCGAGAATCACTGATCACATTTGCTTGAGAAATTAGGATGTTGCATAACTCAGTGATGCCTACTCTCATTTTTGCTGTGTGTGTAAAATGTCATCTTATATTAATTCATTAACTAGGCCTACTCTTCTTAAGAGTTTAATGAGCCTGCTGGCCAAATTAGTAACATCAGCGTTGCCTGGGACCTAAGTTCCAAGGGTGTAATCCACGGATAATGAAGTTGCCACTTATCCTGGCTGTCGCTCAAGCAAGTGCCCCCGTATAGCACTCGCAAGCACCTTGAATTCCTGTCCTGTATCTTCTAGTGCATCAATTCCAGGCCATCTGTTGCCACCCAGAGACCAGTGCCCTCTCAAAACAGCTGTTGCCCCATTCTCACTAGCGGTGGGACAGGCTGGATTTTGTGCCACTCCTGGGTACTCTTCACTTCAAAGTTGTCACACTTTTGCATAGTTATCACCACAGTTTTCAAGCAGATGGCAGCCAAGTGTCTTGAGGAGGAATACCTTCTATTAACGTACTCAGAGATGCTGTCCAGACTGCAGAGGGACCACAGCAGCTGACACTTGAGACTTGGTGTTCCTTTCCTTCTACAAATTCCCTCCTCCAAATGCAAATTTAATTTCTTACAGGATACTTTTTTTCCTACCTGATTGAGAAAAGGTGAAGTGTGAACTCACACTTTGCTGGCCAGGTCTTGGGAAAACAGGTATATTCATGCCTGGTATAAATTCAGGCATGACTAGCGGGAAGGTAAATTAGTACAAATCTAGGGGGAAGGGGGTTAACATATATGGCCTGCACTCCATCCACAGGCCACACACCCACTGGTTCTGCATCAAGGAACTGTGGATCAGATATGTTCAGAAGAAAAACTTTCAGCTGTGCCAAACATGTACAAACTTTTCTTGGTTATTATCCCCAAACAATACAGTATAACAACTTGTTTCATAGCCTTTACATGGTATTAGGTATTAT